TAGGGAAAACCACTCTGTATTTGAAAACTATTTAAAATATCTATTTACCCATTTTACATATAAAGTGGATTCGAAAAACATTTTACATTTTAAATACATTTTTTTAAGTATTTTATATTTGGCATTTTAAATGATTACCCAGCCCTGATATATAATGATATCGACAGTTAAGAGTTACAGAATATAGAAGCCAAAGTTTCAACGAAATGCTACGAAAATTTGTTAAAACTTGCTAAAAACCAGAAGTGTATCCCAGATTTTGAGGTTAGTTCATGGTGGCACGTGGAAGGATTATTTGGCTTAATTTACATTGATCCCTTTTATAGTGCACATAACACTGTAGCATTTTCAGTGCGGCAGTAAATTTGGAACCCAGCCTTGATTGTAGTCGAGGCTAAAGTCACTAGATTTCTAAAGTAGCGCAATTGATTTCAAAAATGTGAGTCAAAATGACCGAAGTGCACATAGTACATGAGGTCTGTTCGCGCTGCATGAAATCCCCAAATATTTTTGCACTTAAAATGAAATAGATATATATTTGGCCTTGAAAAGAGAGAAAGCGAAGATACCGAATGCCAAAAGTGCAAGCAACGCGAACAGACCTATGATTCCAAGCATGGTGGTTCATCTTTTAAACTGTATTTACATGTTCCTTTGTGCACTTTCATGCACTAAACTTTTACAACAAATATAAACCCGTATTAAACTAAAGAACACATAAATTAAGCATTCGTACATATTCTTTTGTTCATAAATAAACTAATTACAATTTAAAAACATTAATTTACATACTTGACGGCTTCATTTTCCCAAATAAAATACATACAAATGCATAAATTCGAAATGGCCGCGTTTTGCGTCAAAATGGATGCGAGTTTGCGGTACTTTATAGGTCTAGTGACTTTAGACGAGGCCTAGGGCGGAATCCATAGACGGTGCTCAAGATTCGAGATGGTCTTAAGCCTTGTGTCCACGATGCTAGAAATTGGTCCGAGATCTCGGAGAGAGAAAGAATTAACCAATCACATTTAAACAATTTAGTCACATGATCAATGCGATTGGTCAATTCTTTCTTCATCCGAGATCTTGGACGGATTTCTAACATCGTGGACACTGGGCTTTAGGCCGGAATCAGACTACGCATTAAAGATTGAGATCGAAGATTGAAGATTGAAATTTGACCAATGAGGGCAAAGGAATTTTAGCTCCTATTGTTTTGATTGGTCAAATTTCAATCTTTCAATCTTCAATCTCAATCTTTAATGCCTAGTCTGATTCCGGCCTTAAGCTAGTGCATGAACCAATCAAAGAGTATTAGCATCTTAAGACATTGGGCGCGTTCGAGTTGACAAAGCGGCTAGCCTGCCGAGCAAATGAACATAATTGGTTATTATTTATAGATCCAACCAATCATATTCAATCGCTCGATAAGCATGCCTAGCCGCTTTGCAGTCTTGAACTCGCCCATTGCTTGAGATCAAGGCCGATATTCATAGTCGATTCTTATTTCAAGACCGTCTTAAGTAACGTTTTAAGCTAATGCGGCCCTCTGATTGGTTCGTGACACCTCAAGGCTGAACTTAAGACGATCTTGAATATAAGATCTGACTATGAATACCGGCCTTAAGATCGGACTATGGATCCCTAATCCGGGGCTGTGTTCGGAAATATCACTCGGGTGGCCCCGTGTATCATCTCATCCTTATTTAACATTGGCTGCGTTCAGCAGACTCAACAGTTTTGCAACCGTTTTATGATTGTCTGCTGAGATAGGACCATTCTTCTAGATCTAAAAGTATGATCCAATTAGCGCGAAGGAAACTTACAACAGTTGCAAAACAAACGTTCTGCTGAACGCACCAATTGAGGAAATAATAAAGATAAACAGGGACACTCGGATGATATTTTCGAACGCAGCTCAGGTTGACAGAGTCAAGGTTTGGAACGCATTACTGGATTCACCACCGAAACGTTGCGCATGCGCATTGCGCTAGAAAATGCAAAAGGCGGTCCCGACTCCTGCTAGCAACTTGCATCGGTGCACCGGTGCATGTGCATCGCGACGAAACGGTATCAAAGATTTACGTGTTTTGCCCATCAGTCATCGGTATTCCGGCTACAAGTAGAGAGTCGTTTTTTCGCGATTTAGTTTGGTGCGACTTTGAGAAAGGAAGTGAGAATCCAGGTAATGGCGTGTCGTGCAGCGAGCATCCTTCCGGCGAGCATCCTTCCGGTCCAGGGTAAAAGCGGCGGCAACAGCCAGCGGCTGATTGCTGCATACAGCAGCAGCTGAGTGGAAAACACGGCGAGCCCACCATATTGCACAAAGCAACCGGCCCGGCAAAGATGTTCGTTTACGGTAGGATCGTCAGCCAATTGCCCTCCAGGCTCACACATGTGAATCACTTGTATCGACCTGTAAAATATGCCGGTGAGTGTCAGCTATCTCGGCGAATTCTCTCCTTTTCTGCCCTTTTCTCGTTCTCTGACTCATGCCTGCTCCGGATATTGATTTGAAAGAAATCTCTCATTTCCCGCCTGTTTTAACAGTTTTTTTCGTCATTATCTTTTCTTTCTGCACGATATTCTGTACTCTGATTGCGTAACCTTCCGAGCGATAATTGTACCGTTTGAATCAACGGGATTGTGTTTACAATCTCTCTTCCATGCGGCGTATCTGCTCTGAAATGGGCAGCGAATAACATAACCTGGAGACACTTTCTTTTAGTTTTGTAAAGTTGTATTAAATAACATTATTGATAACTTGAAATGTAAAGATATTCTCGCGTTTTTTAAGAAAATTCCAATAAATGTTTATTGATAAATCCCTTTGTTTTTTTTTCATATTTCTTGTTAACTTTAAAATATAATACATTTTATGTCTAACATTTTATTGCATCATTTGTATTACTGTCCAACTATTTTCTGCCAATAAAGTGATGTTATCTCTTTGAATCAGAGATAACATCTTTTTACTGATAGAAAGTGGCTGGATAGTAACATGAATAATGCAATAAAATGTTACATATAAAATATATTATCAAGGACTATTTGAGAATACTTCTTTGTTTATAATAGCCTATTGATAACTTACTAAAAACATTACAGGAGTTGTAAATATTAATAACTTACGCCACAATAGTGATGCAAGCAATAAAAAGCCACATAAGCCATCAGGTACCACTGTCAAGCCAGAGGAATGTGTGCCTGAATCTAAATATCTCAAGTCACAAAAAACAATTCCTGTCTGTGAAACTGGAGCGTCTTGTCCAGCACCGCAAGAAAGATGCAAACCGAACAGCAAACAGATTCAACTAAACGAGAAAGGCTCAGATTTTAGAAAAAATGGAAAATATCAATTTAGCTACTGGCACCTAGTTGCTGCCTTAATTGTGACAGGAGTTGCATACAAGGTATTACAATGTACGAAAATTTTATTTGATTAAGAACACTGATTAATTTAATTTTTTTATTGTAACATTTTTAACAGATATCTTCATCTTTTTTGAAAGATGACAAAACAGATCAACAGAAAGGCCAAAGTAAACGTAAGTTAAATAAAAAATTGTTCATTGGAATAATAGAAATATTAAAAATATTACTATTTACATATACTATCTGTGCTTTTAGAAAAAAAAGAAGGAAGAAGGCATTTGAGATCTAAAAACAAAGTAAAAGTTCCAGCAGATTCCAAATTAATCCTCAAAGAAGTTCCTTATCTATTGATAGGTGGAGGAACGGCTGCATTTTCAGCATTTAGGTCAATTAAATCTAGAGATCCCAAAGCTAAGGTATGGTGTATATTAATAGATTTTCTTTTTTTTATTTGTGCACATAAGAATTTTCTTCCAGGTTTTAGTTATAGCACAAGAGGAAGAATTTCCATATATGAGGCCACCGTTATCTAAAGAACTTTGGTATAATACAGATAGAGACACAACTGCACAATTACGTTTTAACCAATGGAATGGTACTCAGAGAAGGTAAATTTTGCTCAATTTAAACGTACAATGAATAATGTCCTTACAATTGTCTTTTTACTTGCATATAGAATGTTTATATTTATTTTATAGTATATTTTATGAGCCACGAGAGTTTTACTCAAATGTTACTAATCTTACCGAATCAGATAAGGGTGGAGTTGCTGTAGCCATGGGTTGGAAAGTAACAAAAATTGATGTTATAAATCAAATTGTGACTCTCGATAATGGTTATGAAATAAATTACAACAAATGCCTCATTGCAACTGGTAGATTCTGTTCAAAAATTTTATCAGACAAAATCAAAATTTAAAATTAAATTTTTTATATATGTATTCGCAGGCGCATCGCCTAAAAGTCTGCCGATATTCGAATCTGCTGAGGACAGCATAAAAGATAAGATTACAACGTTCAGAACGAAAGATAATTTTCTTGATTTGGAAGAAAATGTTTCTAATCCTAAATGCAAGAATGTTGTTGTTATTGGTGGTGGATTTCTCGGTTCGGAACTTGCTTGCGCACTCGCTAGGAGTTGTAAGTTTTTTTTATTCACTATCAAAATATTTGTGAATAATTTATAATGAAAAAATACATTTTAGATAAATCTAAAAATATTTTCCAAATTTATAAAGAAAAATTTATAATGGCACAAGTATTGCCAGAATATTTGAGTGAATGGACCACAAAAAAAGCTGAAACAGAAGGCGTTCGCACCATATCTAACACAGAAGTTCAAGATTATAAATACAAAAATGGTCGATTGTCCCTTGTCCTCACTGGTGGTCAGACTGTATGTTGATATATTCAAGAGCTCACGTAATTTTATATATAATTGTATAACTTTCTATATAATTAGTTAAGTACTTCAATTTATATTGAAACTTTATTTTCTCGCGATAAAAAGATTGATGCTGATCAAGTGATAGTAGCGGTAGGTGTTCAACCAAATACAGATTTGGCAACAACTTCCAATTTAGAGACAGACCCTAAAATAGGAGGATTCCTCGTTAATGCTGAATTAGAGGCGAGAAGCAATCTTTGGGTTGCCGGAGACGCCGCATGTTTCTATGACGTCAAACTTGGTAGAAGAAGAGTCGAACATCATGATCATGCAGTTACTTCCGGAAGATTAGCAGGTGAAAATATGACCGGCGCAGGTAATTCAACAAATTCAGAGATATCTCTAAAATAATGCATTTACGAAAGTATGGACTCATAAATTTCTCTTTATAGGTAAACCTTATCTGCATCAATCGATGTTTTGGTCAGATTTGGGACCTGATGTAGGATATGAAGCGATAGGTATCGTAGACTCATCTTTGCCAACTGTTGGAGTTTTTGCAAAAACGACGGGAGCAAACGCGATACCGGTTAATAATCCTAGCGATGTAAGTAATTCTTACAGTGAATATGTGATATATTTAATTGTAAAAATATTTCTCTGGGTTATTTTTTTCCTAGGAACAAAAAACAAATTCTGTAGTCTCGCAATCTAATGAAAAATCGGAGTCACAGATTGTAAAAAATAATACAGAAGATAACGCAGAAGAAGAAAAGAAAGAAGTACATGGAGATAAAGTAAAGCCAGAGCAATCTACGAAATACAAAGATTTTGAGAAGGGTGTTGTTTTCTATCTGCGAGATGATGTTGTAGTAGGAATAGTTCTGTGGAATATCTTCAACCGAATGTCGATTGCCAGACGGGTAAATTTATCAGCATTATTCTGTTTTTGTACTTATGTTATAACTCCTTTCAAATATAATATTTAACTTTAACAAATATTCCTGATTTATTCAGATACAATCAATATAACATTATATAATTTAGATAATAAAACATAATTTTTATATTATATATTTCAGGTTCTTGCAGGAAACACGAAGTATGACGATTTAAATGAAGTAGCAAAACTTTTCACAATCCACGAAGATTGATTGTTTAATTAACAAATAAGAGTGTGAATGACAATATTGAGAGATTATTGTACCGTATATGTGTAAAAAGGTATTTGATTTCTGCGTTTGAGGTATTATCATTGGAAAATCTGCAAGCGACAGCTCTTATATCGTTGGATTTCGCAGGTATGCGGATTATACAAGTACCAGTCAATGTTATGTTGTATACATGAAGATTTCTAAATACAATCTAATACACAAAATGTTTATACAAAAACCATATCAGCATATTCACTATTAGAATACGTACGCGGCATATCGCAAAGAGCGACTGACAAATTCATAACAGAACGTGGAAAATGTAATCAAATATGTCGGTGCTAGATATGGCAAGAAATGTAAACATTTTTTTTCGATTTCTCTGAAACGGAGCAAAAACGAGCATATGTCTATAGAACTTTTTTTCTTAGTTTTTTACTCCTCTACACGCTCCCGAAGTTTTGCCATTTAATTTGGAAACACCCTGTATATGCAAAGTGTACATACATTCATTATAGCTAATGATAATTGAAAGCACCTATAGAAAATAGAAAAACAGAGAAACTTTTATTAATTACGATAATTATTATTTGTTATATACATACATTTTACTGATGTCTAATTATTTCATATTAAGAATCCTTAAGATATTTTCTTTTGCATGAATGTGTAATTTGTTTTTTCGATAATGTTGAATGATACACATCTTTTTTCGTGTTTTTTAAATTAACAAGCTCGTGAGATATATATATTTATATTTCATCTTCTGAATTTAAATTTTTAGTCATTGCTGGTAAAATCCGATTTCTATATCGTTGACCTAAATTATCCATATACGTAATATAATTATGACAGCGATACTCGTCCAATATCTGTATAAAAATGCATTTAGCAAGTTATTTAATGGTATTAAATGAAAATAACTCTAGTACATTTCATGTATATACCATGCACTCCGGCCACATTTTTCTGTTCGTTAAATCCTGCAGCAATTCTTCCTGGCAGAATTGCAAGAGTGATACAGAATAATACACCATATAATCGGATGGGTACAAAATGCATATTGCAAAAAAATGAACGATTTCGCTCCATGGAAGGATTCCCCAGAAACATTGCGACAACATTCTATTGAATATCATCCACCAATTGACACCGAAGACATCCTTTTCGTTTGAAAATCAAAACATTATATTTTTAGGTAACCAAATTTTTTAAATGATAAAATTTACCTTTAATCCATATTTAATATTTGGAAGCTCGATGTTAACCATAGTTTCTAAAACTTGCATAAAAGTAAATTGCAAACTGGTGCCTTCGTTATTTTTTTCATCGATAACTTTGCCCAATTTCGGCCAAAGAAGCAGTGTTGATGGAAATTGAATTACTTGCATGATAAAAGTCTTGCAACTATAATCAATTGCTAATTAGCATATTATTTAATAATATGTTGATATAATAGCATATCTGGTCAATGATGAAAAGAAAATATTGAGACGGTTGATGATAATAAAGAAACATTGACCTGGTGAGAACTAAGTTTTCAATCTGAGACCTGCCAATGATGATATATGACTTGCTTGAGTTAATCGCTATTGATAGCTTTGAAATGCTTGTTTAATCAATTTTTTTGTGATTAAAATATCACAAAAAAATATTGATTAAACAAGAACTATGCCACTATACGTGACCATACCGGAAATTAAACAAAGCTGTCAAAGAATTAATTCGCGGTCAGCTGAGGCTCAAATTTTTTATGCTAATTTACTTCCTCTAATAATAAATGAAATATTTGAAGATAATGTATTCAGTTACATACTTATCTACATCTCCATCACAAATAATGAACACTGTTGCCAAGAACCAATCAAAACCGTCAAATCTGTTCGGTTTATTGTACTGTATAAATATGTAGGCAGAATGAATGAATTGTTTCAAATTCTTCTGACTGTCGTTATTGTTCTTTAAAATATTTCGTTGTTCAGCGTAATTTAAAACAATGTTAATAGCATGTATATCTTCCGGAAGCCAATAATCTGTATCGTATGTTATATTCTCCTGCCATTCAAACTGCTCTACCCATTCCGCAGTTGGAATAGCTTTGTGCATTTGATTTAACAAATTCATCATCATGGAATTCTAAAATAAAAATTATTTTTCTAATTTCTGTTATTAAATATGATACTAAATTTATCTTTGTGAAATTACCTTAATTGGACATCGCGAGGCTTTATGAGCCGCTCTAACTTGTGAAACCCAACTGATATCTAATAATCCGGGTCTTTCCTCCTGCAGCATATCGTTCAGCTCTGAATCACATTCTATTTCTCGATAATCTATCATATCTGCATATATTCTGGGAGGTGGAAACTCCGAAAAAAGTTCATATTCCTCAAATGGTATCACATATTGTTTTCTTTTATATGTCATGTAATATGATTTTAATAAAATATCATGTCGTAAAAAACTGCATTCATCAATTATGTATTCCTTTTGCGGCTCTGGCTTATCACCATCATCAATATCGTCCTCTGTCTTATAATCAGTTTCATCGTCGCTTTGTTCTTTGCGAACTTCAAGGAAAATTGTGCTACCTTTCTGAATATCTAATAGAATTTCCTAAAAAATTGTATTATTATATACAAGTACAAGTTGTATTATTATATCATATACAGCTGCTATTTCATCGTACATGTTTCACATATATAATGTATTACCTGGAAATTTAACAAATTTAATAAATAAGCACAAACGTCTAGATTCCAAATTACAGTATTCAACGATAGAAGAGCTAAATAATGATAAATTGAATCCTCGTCTATTGCAGCCTGCAGTAATTCAAACAAATTCGAAGGATCCTTTTCCTCGTCATCCGATTCGCTATCATTAACCATAAACGCGGCGAAACCTGTTAATGGATGTATATATCCATTAATCATATGTTAAGAATATGTACAATAAAAAATATAAGTAGTTAAGTTTTGTACAATTAAAATTAAGGGAAAATAATGTGAGAATATGTAGAAATTCGTCAACATTTTCTCTATCCCAAGGATCATAAAAAAATCTGGGATCCTTTGCGTTTGTGCAGGTTTGCGACAGCAAAGTTGATAGAACGTGGGATCCGAGATTTGCGAGCACATTGTAGCCCAGATCAAAATAACCAGCCGATGAAATGAAGCTGACTATGTCAGTAGAACTCCAGATTACTCTTAAAGGAGCGATTAATCCGCGAATCAGTTCTTCGAATACTAACTTCTCATTAACGAGCGCTTGCAATCCGAGTGGTATTGATACCATTTTTAATAAAACTTTTTTGACAGCACTGTAATAGAATTTTAGAGATTATATATGATTGTGCAAGCTGAGATTTTCAGAAATAAAATCTATTTTCCTATAAATCTACCTATCGAGTTGTTGAACTTTATTTTCGTTTTCAACACTGCATTTGTTTATTCTTTTGTAAAAATTGGCGACGGCTGGATAGAATTGCGTTTCAATCTGTTCTTGCGCAGCCTCGTAAACGTCATAAATATTGAATAATTTTTCTATTAGATTAAACGAACTTAAAATACATTTTATATCCATTATAGAAAACGGCTGTTTCAATAAATTCGATACACATTGCATTACGATTGCAACTGGACATTTTGATGAGGTATTTTCAGAATTTGTTGAATGCTCTTTACAATTTGTAGTCAAAAATGCTGGCCCATCTACTGTATCTATCATATGAGAAATAATGTTTAACGTATGTGGCCAAATCTTTATATTATTTCCAGAAAGAGATGCCAAGCGACATAATGTGGCATGGTAAAAGTCAATGTTGTATAGTACATCCGAAATATTGAGCATATTTTGAAGAGCGTTGCAGGAAGTATTGTACACTCCACTCGGAGCTTCTGCTGCTAACTTATTTAAAGAGTTCAATAATTCTATTAAGAAATCAGCCACATCAAATGGCGTTTTTAATGAACTCTCCGCGATCAATTTTCTACCCGCCTCGTAGCTGCAGAGCTGCGAGACAAAGGTCAAACAATGCAGATAAGTTGCGGTTTCTATTGTATTGCCAGGGATACATAGTTCGTTGCTTTCATCCATGATAGAGATGGACAAGGAACAAGGTGTTTCTGCCACACCGCTCTTAACGCATTCAAGAACGTTCTGCAGAAACGTCGGAGACTTTGCTAGAATAGCGATGAAAATCCTCCTGGTAGAGAGACTATGAAGCCACCTTTTGCTCCATTTGGCCTGCGGCTCTAATATCGAGACAATATTTAGCATGTTTAAAGTTTTAGGCTGCAACGAGTTGCCAAAGCTATGCGTACTGAGAAATACTATAAATTGCTCTATAACTTCTTCCACAGTCTTATCGCTGTGCCTAGTGTTTTTTAACATTTCCTCTTGATAGCGAACTATCAGATGCATTATGCAAAACAGTTTCTCATGCAGGAAAAACTTGAAATTAATTCCAGAGATTAGAGTGGGCAGAGTCTCGCGCAATTTCTGCGAATGATATTGCGTGTTGAATGCGTTCAATAAATTGCTGTAAGTATGGTTTAATTGTGAGCAATTCAGCAACTTTGCATGTACCTGCATGCTGGCATCGAATATAGCTCTGTTATCATCTGTGAGACCGTCCAGCAGCATCTTTTGGAAAACATCCCACTGAGAACTATTATTTATGTTGGATAATTCGATCTTTAATAAAATTTCATAGCCAGCCAGTCTCACGTGAACCGGCTTGTCACGACTAATTTTGTCGATAATGCAGTTATATTCTTCCGCGTTTCCTTGCGGAGAAGCCCAATCGTCTGCTGCGAGATCGCTAGCGAAGGAAAGTGATGATTGCGATTGCGATGCTGCGGATGAAGGTTTTACCACCACGTATTGCTCGGCGATTGCCTTCTTCATAGAATTCAGCAAAGCAGTCATATCTTTCGAATGCGAGAGCTTGTAGGCGATATCGCTGGGCACCTGTTCCTCGTCTATAGCGCTTTGTATAATTTTTCCGAACTCCTTCTTCAAACATTTTCTTAGCCATTTGTGAAGATCCGGCGGTATACCTTTATCCATACTTTTTTACCTAAGCTAATATTATATGAGTAAAACTAATCAAAAAGTGTGCAACAAAAGGCACGTGTCTAAGCTTTAGTGTCCATAACTTTGACATTCGTTGTCATAGCAACCGGAGGTGTACACATACGAAGCGCATATGGCATATCATTTGTGAATAATCTAGTCACGCAATGCAATAAAATTTTTTATAACAAAATTATACAAGATCGTTATACAATTTTACATATATCGTATGTCAATTGTACTGTATAGAGAATACATCTGAGTATTATATGTATAGTAACTCAATTACGTAATTCAATTAACGTGCAGGTACTATAATATTCGGAGACTTGGAGCGTAATGCGTTAATTCCGCCTTGCAGAGAACAGACTCCTACGACACTGCATTTTACCAGAAATTCTGCAAACTATTAGAAAATATATTACAATTAAATCTCTTTTCACAATTTCCTTTTATATATGATTTACTTGCCAGCGCATTGTTTTGATCGTGCGGTCCAATAATCACAACAACACTGCTTTTATTATTTGTCAATGGTTTTGCGTGCGGCCCGAGTGTGTCGATGTGAGTTTGAGATAATTGCACACTTGTAAATGGAATGTTAATACTGCCGAGAACAGCACCCCTCTCGAATCTGTTAAAAATAGATTAGTTTAGAAAATAAATCTTTTCAACAGAATTTTTTTATTACCATTTAAAAACGAATACTTACTGTATATTACTACGTACATCAACCACTATGACTTTACTCGGTGAATTGTTGTAAAGATTTAAAAAGTCGTCTACACTTATTCTTGGCATCTTTTCGGTTCCTGTTTCAGGTTCAATCCAATTTGCATCCTACGAATTAATTAGAATTTTAAAATATGCAGATAATCAATTACATCAATACTGTACCTTTGCTGTATTGTACTGGTGTTTTCTGTATGTAATACTAGCGGGTGTGTTTTGATACATTGTCATGGAATCTTTAACGCATAATTCTATGTCAATCTCGGGTAAATCAGAGAACAGGAGAATACATTCATTGAAACCTGACATTAGTAAGGAATCTCGCAGTTGCTTCAATATCGCTAATCCAACTAAGAGAGGAAACGACGAATCTCCCAGCAATAGTTTATCCCATAGATGCAATATCTTATGCAACGGAAATACGTCTAAAAAATTAGTCATTTTTTAATTTTTATATCAACAATTAATAATATGGCATATTAAAAGTATATTAATAGCAAAACTTACGTGAAAACATTGTTAAGAACCATGGTATGGCAAAAAGTTCCGGTACAAAATTTATGGACTTCAAATGATTCGCTAATTGGGGATCGTGGAACGCAATAATTTGGGAAAATTTGCCCAGATATTCCTGTATTATCGCTGAGTTATCTTTCAGAAAGAACTTGTGGAGATACTTTGGTATGAAGGTTGACAGACACGCAAAAGCTCGAGCTAAAATTGTAATTTTTTGTTGTGCGATACATTAACTTGTAACAGGAAAATATATTTTTTATGACTAAAGGAATATATGAATCCCATTAAAGTTTCTTGTTATTATAATACATATATAGTTTTAAAAGTTTTAAATTTGTCAACTATAAAAAATTGTAACAAAAACTCATGAAAAATAAAATGTGAAATATAAAATTATTCCAATCATTACACTATTTAAAAATTAGAAAAATGTCTCAGGGTCACCAGGATTTTATGTTCCAGTTACAGATAAAGAAACAAAAATGTATGTTGGATAGTCATACCTTCATTATTAAAATTTAAATAAAGAAACGGAGCTGTCAGCGAATCGAGCCCTTGCCAATAGACATAATGTGGATTATTCCTGACCCATGCCTTTAGCAATCTTTGCAATCGTTCATGTCCAGCACCAGATGACAGTAATTCACTATATTGATGGCATCTCGGTATGTCCACTTCTATCTGAAATTATTATATATCTATCTGAAATCAAATTATTAGCAAAATGCATTTACATATCGAGTATGATATTATAATGTAGCAATTATATACCTGCCGATCAGTATGAGTGGGCGTTTCCTTATCAATCATGTCATAACGCTTCTGTATATCGCCGGTGATACCAAGCAAAGCCGCCCATACGGCACCTCTAACTGGAGGCGGTATATCTTTATGTGCTTCCTCGATAATTGCCTCCTGAGTGAGCGGATAAGCCTGTAAAAGTCTGTCGAATAGGACAAGTCTATAAAACTGATATTCCGTATCACGCTCCCTTATGATTAGTGGCAACTGAGATGCGGCATTCGTTAGATCTTCTTGTGCCTGAACTCGCATTCTGTAATGTAAAATTTTTATAACAATTCATAATACTGCGATAGATACAGGATAAGAGATAAAAGTGAACTGACTGGTTTGTTAACCAAGGATAGTTTGCTATGTATGGGATATGAGCTAAACGCTGGCGAAGAGTCTCCATAGGAACTTTTACGACCCTTACATCGAGTAGACTAGCAGTGTCTCTCTGACCAAACATTTGGCCAAGTAATATAACTAAGCTGAAACAAAAATTTCAAATATTTGATATAATCGCATTGAACAATGTAATTATATGAATGCTTATTTTATATATATATATATTTGAAAATTACTTTGGAATAGATAAGATAGGTGGTCTTGATCTAATGAGACTCTGTTTTTTTAGATCTACAGTAATATCTCCACCGGCCAATTGCCATAGATAATACAACTCATCCATTTTTCTAACAATAACATTCTTATAGAGATTTTCTTCCTTTTCTTGTGTATTTCTTATTAAATGTTCCGCAAATATGGGCAGCTCCAGTAAATCCTCTGGAGTCTTGCGCTTGGTAGGATGAATTTGCAGACACGAATCTACAAATTCCTTTAGCTCTCTTGGTAACTTCTGTATGATACAAAGATGTAATGTTATAAGATATGTAACATTATAATGTAAGCAGATTACAATATATAATAGATGCATTCATACTTCATAAGTATGGAAACAATTGTTTTCTCTGGCAAGACGTTCGAATATGCTAGTATTACACAATATTAAGCTCAGAACTCTCCTCAAACACTGGGATAATTTTATACCAGGCCAGATAGATTGTCCTAATAGTTGCTCTGCTATAATCATTCCCAAAGACCAAGAGTCTATTTTAACACCACTCGGACTAGGATTTAGAAATACCTCTGGTGCTGTGTATTTTGGAGAACTGAGAAAAGAAAATTTATTTACAATTTTATTACAAATAGATATATAAATCCATTAATATTTATATTAGTAAAAAGAAATATTTGAAAAAATACCCAATTGGGAAAGATACATTCTTTCCTCCGTCTGTCATGTAATACAATCCATAATTGTATAATTGGATATCACCGTTTTTCTTAATCAATATATTATCTGGACTCAAGTGTCTATGTACAAGATCTAGTTCGTTCATATGTCGTAACGCTAAGAGACTCTGAAAGGATATCTTAACGATTTCTTCTGTACTTAAATCATGCCTAGTGCTCAATGGATTGCCACTATACTCCATAACAACCACAATCCTCTCTACAAATATACAAAAATAATTTATACTGTCTCAGTAGGAAACAAACTTATTTGCATTGTCAGGACTCACCATGTTTGCTTCTAATTATATCAAGATAGGGAGAGAGATGAGGATGGTAGATGGTCTTTAGAAATTGTGCCTTCCCGTAGATAGTTATGGAATTCGGCGTGAGTGGTAAACCGTTGCTGCCGCACACTTCCACCGGGTGGCTTTGCGCGAAAAAAGTCATGCCACCCAAACATCGCTCCTCGTTCTCCAATAGTGCAGGACACATGGCGTTTGTGGAATTCCATAAATCTCTCTCCAATTATACGAGCCGACTCTGCCGTTTGGATTCGGATTTCTTGTCGCACATCATTATTGTTGTTTTCTGCATTTCTTATGACATGCCCGATGTCCGCTTATTATCGTTTACAACAGCTGTTATTCCATCAACCACAGACTCTTATAAGTAGACTCATAGACTGCCGATAGTGCCAATTTCGCCTCTACGTTTGAAGACAGCACTGGGCAGCGCCATATTTTTGTTCATTCACTCTCACATGTATAAATCACACAGATAATCAGGGAGCATTTATGGCAATTTATGGATGCTTTCCATTTACAAATGACACAAGTCGACAAAAGTCTCTCTGTGCTCTGATGGCATTATAATTGGCAATATAGGTGTAGTCACTTGTGTAGGCAGTGCAATAGGCCTGTTCTTTTTAGCTGAACTTTTGCACCAGTTCATCTTTCTTCCTTTTCTCTCCACAGGAGGAAAGTTTAGCTAAAAAGAACAGGCTTAATGTGATCAGTGTAATGCAGTGCAGAACAGTGCAAAAGTCGTCTAAAATCTGGTAACCTTTTCGATTACTCCGATCAGTTTTAATTAATTAGTGTGACTGTTCTAAAGCGTCAGTTGCGTCAGTTGGCGTCAGTGAAGGATTCACGTCAAATACAAACGCGTCAAGGTTTGAGGAAATATTGGAGGACAGTGAATTCTCGTCGACGATTTTGATTATTCACAGCCAACTCGTTTTCGATGAATTCGGATTAATATAAGTAAGTAATTGTCCGAGTAATTGTCCGATGTAATAAATACACATTCTCGTCGCGATATCTCATTACTCATACTCGTAGGCATGGTTATAATTTCTGCTCCATTTCCAAGCTACTCTTACAACTTATGAATATTAATCATTCCTTTTCAATTTTACCGTTTTTAGATTTGTTATAACAGTTATAGTATTTTGTTATTATAATTGAAAGCACGCATTATTTCTGAATAAAATGATAATTGCATATATATATATATATATTAAAATAATGTAATTTCCTTAAAAGAAATAAATACATTACAATTATTAATTTGAATTTATAAAGGCTAAAATTATTTGTTGTGTTTTATCAAAATAGATTTATCCATGTAATCTTTTTTTTGTAGAATCTCATCAGATTATTTCACTGGGACATTTATAATGTCTTCAGTCCAGCGTGCATTTGCTCACAAATTAAGCAAACAGCATGCTGCTGATGTAAGGCGGCAAATTGCTACTTCTACTTCCTATTCCCGTGATTTATCAAAAAGTGGTAGCAGTATATCAGGATTTTCTTCTATGGTACACATGCAGTTTTCTTTGGAAAACTAAAACATGAAAATGTTATAACTAATTTTGAAGTAAATTATTTAACTATTAAGTAAAATATTTAATCATTATGCAGATGTCGTTGTGCGAGGTATTAGAACCACTTGATTATGAAGAATTCTTAGGACAACACCAGTCAGTGCTAGAACGTGAGCCTTTAAAACCAATACTAGATTTTCCTCCGGGAGATGTCGAATTGAGAGTTGTAAAGAGGAAAATTCGAACAGAGGAGCCAGTAGTCCCACATGAATCAATGTAAGACAAATAATTGAAGCATTACCAATTATTATATATTATTTAAAATTTGTGTATATAGTAAATGTGTAATAAATGTAATCAAATCTATTCTTTATTTTAATTATTTGGCTTTCAGAGATACTGTGTCGCCTTATGTGAAAAGATGCATTGAAAGTTTTACTTCAGACTGGATTGTAATACATCGCAAATATAAAGGGAGAATTTCACCTATTGCCAGAGACAGATTACTTCAGGATACACCTAGACAAGATTTTGAAGTATCTAGTGCTGAAGATAATTAATTTGTGTGTGATGTGAGCAGAAATAAAAGTAATTTATCTCAATTAGGTAGATCAAGAAGATGCAAATGGCTGTGTATCACCGAACGAAGAGGATGATTTGTCCAACTCCGGAGATACTCCAAGAGGATCTTGGGCAAGTTTGGATTTGCGACATTCACAACATGATCCTCTTCTACCGACTTTATTAGATCGCGTCTGCCTTGAAACAATCGATCAAATGAACGAACAAAAAAGATTGGAAGATCGACAGGTACAGAATTGTAAAGTGACAAGCCCTTGTAGGTTTTATTTTGATTAAATATTTATTTTTCAGGAAGCCTTATTTCCTCTTTATGCTCCTCCAACTTCTCCTGATGACGAATGGCAAGAAATTAACATTGCTCCAGAACCTACAGAGCCTTTTGCTCATAAAATTCTCGTGAAATGTCTGCAATTAAAATTAGAACTAGAAGTGGAGCCAATATTCGCGAGTCTTGCACTGTATGACGCCAGAGAAAAGAAAAAAGTACGATATCTTTTTTATGACTAAAATTAACTATATAAATTAAAATTAATAACTTCAAGAACACATAATGCTAATTACAAATTGTTGCTCAGGTATCGGAGAATTTCTATGTCGATATGAATTCAGAAGGGTTGAAAAGAATGCTTGGAGGACACATTGCTTATAGCGATGCAAGTACCTTAGCCAGAAGTTGTGTTTTGAGCATCAGTAAACCTAGTCCTGATTTGTTTCTTGTCGTGCGGCTAGAGAAAGTATTGCAAGGCGATATATCGGAGTGTGCCGAACCATATTTACGTGAAGATAAAAATAAAGATAAAGTAATAAAATAAGTAATAAAAAGAAGAGATAGTAACGATTTAAAATGACAGTTTTCATACATTATTGTTTTATTCTTTTCCGTAGGTTAAAGCTGCCGCTGCCGCTGCATGTGAACGCCTTGGTCGTTATAGAATGCCTCTCGCATGGACTGCAATTCATCTGTCTGGTGTAATTGGTGGTGGTGGTGACACGGATAGCACTGGCAGCGCTGGATCCTTAGACAGAAAGTCGGGAGGTTTGGAACAATGGCGAAAGAAAGTGGAACCGCCAACGCGACGAGGTTCGCTAGAAAGACGGAGCTCAGACAAAAGACGCAGTTGGTCACCAGACGATTTTGCCAATTGCCTCGATAGCTTTAGGTTTGTATAATATTCTATTTTTCAACAAAGAGCTTTTATGACCCAAGTAACATCTTGATATTCTTGCAGGCCCATAACTTTAACAGTTTCGAGCTTTTTCAAGCAGGAAAGCGAACGACTTCGCGATGAAGATCTTTATAAACTTTTGGTTGAATTACGAAGACCTGGATCTAACTTGAAACGATTAAAATGCTTACCAGGGATATTGAAATTGGATCTCAGTCCCAGACCCGAAGAGCTGCCGAGGTGTCTAGATCCTGATCTTAGAAGATTAGTTCCATATCCGGATGAAAAGAGTCGACCTGTTAAGGAGATACTCGAGTTTCCGACCGAAGTTATTTCGCCAGATTTGACGTATCGCAATCTTCTTTATCTTTATCCCAAGGTGTGTATCAAATAAAATTGTACGACCAATTATTTTCTATTAATTACACGATATTAGAATTATATTTTATTGTTCATAGGAAGCAAACTTTAGTTCTAGAACTGGCTCAGCTCGCAATATTGCTGTAAGAATTCAGCTCATGGGAGGTGAGCAAGAAGCCGACGCGCTCACAGCTATCTTAGGTAGATCATCCTGTCCCGAGATGACACACGAATACTTTACTTCCGTGTCATATCACAATAAAAATCCAAACTTTTACGATGAAATCAAGATGAGGCTACCTGCGGATTTAAGTGCAAAACATCACTTATTGTTCACTTTTTATCACATTAGTTGCCAGAAGAAAGTGGAACAACCAAACGTCGAAACGGCAGTCGCATATACAGTAACTTTCAATCAATAATTAATAAAACTAATGGATCAATAATTTGATTGATGTATTGAATATATAAAACTATTTGTAGTGGCTACCGCTTTTAAGAGATGGTCATCTCCAATCAGGCGAATTTAGCTTGCCTGCTATGCTGGATCCGCCACCCGCAAATTATTCCTATATTGCACCTGATGTTCTTTTACCGGGCACTCGATGGGTAGATGCTCATCGAGGGGTTTTCACTGTCATATTGGAGCCCGTTTCCAGTGTTCATCCGCAAGACAAATATATCGACAGGTATACAATAATACATTATCTTTTACTTGTAAAGTGAATTAAAGAAATGTAATAATTTTCAACATAATTTCCATATTACAGATTTTTATCGTTATGCGGATTTTTAGAAACCGGTCAAGTTCCGCCTCGTATAGGCGAAGCGGGCATGGAATCAGAATTGAAATCGTCGCTCCTCGAATTAGCGCGCGCATCGCATTCTGCTTTGGTACGATCTCTTCCTCAATTACTGGATCAATTACTGTGTCTTCTAGTGCGACCGCCAACCTTACCGTCTCAATCATTGAACGTCGCCGCTACCATTTTTGAGGCTTTAGGACTGCTTGTGCGAAATATCACCAATCTGCCGGACGGTCAACTGGACGCACATGGAAGACATGCTCTTTTAGCCACTTACATAGCGTATCAATGCTCTCTACCGAGCATGACTCACATCGGGAGCGTTGCACGAGCACAGAGTAATCCCGATTTGCCTTTGGAAGATCTGGAGATGGAGATCCACTCACGAGGGTTGGACAGAACTGCGTCGATGCGGCAAGAATCTCCCTCAGTCAACAGTCATCCCACCAGAAGACTTCTACATGAGGAACTTGCTTTGCACTGGGTTGTATCCACCGGTCAGGCACGCGAGCTGGCAATAACTCATTCCTGGTTCTTCTTAGAGTTGATAATGCGTTCGATGGTCGTGACGCTGTCCGAAATGGGATCCTTAGAGGCATTGCGGAAACTGAGATTTTCACCGCAGTTTTGTGACGACGTCGCTACGCTCACCGCTGCGTTAACATCCGAGGTGATATCTCGTTGCGGCAAGGAGATCCGCGTGGCATCCAATTTAATATCGAGTCTTGGCAATTTTTTGTCTGACCTGTTATCTGTAATGGACAGAGGATTCGTGTTGTCACTCGTTCGCGCCGCCTGTTGTTCGCTGTCGGATGCGTCGATGCATATTCCTGATTCGGCGGCATTATTCGCTTTGAAGCTCGATCTCGTGAGAACGGTGTGCTCGCACGAGCACTACGTAGCATTGAATCTTCCCTTCGGTACCGGCTATACATCAGGATCCGCTCCAGCATCACCCAGTCCATCAACCGGCAGCTCAGGTAGTCTGATATCCACTCTCGTGCCCGGGGATAGAGCTCGCTTTTCGGAACTCAGTCAAGAATTCAGGCAGCAGCATTTCCTGGTCGGCATCGTTCTGTCCGATCTGGCAAACACCCTGGAGATACCAAATCCGATGTTACAGAATAAAGCTATCGGAACTGTTCGACATCTTATGAGTTGCCATGATGCTGATCCACGATATTCCGATCCTGCAGCAAAGGCTAGAGTCGCTGCGTTATATCTGCCATTGCTTAGTATCTTGATGGATGCCTTACCCCAGCTTTATCATTGGGACTCCAAAGATAAAAGTGTTTATCCGGATGAATCTGGATCAATCACGCAATCGGTAGCATTGGCCATTGCAGGCGGAGCATCGGCGGATACTGCGGGCAATCAGTGTCGCGTATCCTTGAGTTCCGAAGCTACTCGACATTTATTAATGTGTGTCTTATGGGTGCTCAAGGGATTGGAGCGAACTGCTCTAGCACAATGGTGCTCCGAACTCAGTGCGAGACGCATATTGAGCTTGCTGCAAGTATTGAATATAGCCACCGCAGCTTTTGAGTACAAAGGCAAGAAAGCACTTAAAAGATTACCACCTCAAGCAACGGCCACTAGTGACATTAGATCGCGATTGGAAGACGTGATTCTCGGTCAGGGAAGTGCTAGGAGCGAAATGATGCTGCGAAGAAAGGAGAGAGTGACCGGAGATAAATTGAGATGGCGCAAAGATCAAATGCCTTACAGGTATAAATATTATTTAAATTATAATTATAAATTAATATATTTATTTAATTATATAGATATATTGATTCTTCAAGATCTTGCGAACAACCGGAGGGAAGAGCTGTGGAACAAGATGCCCATATAGAAGGAGCCTTAGCGGCTGAGGCTTCTCTTGTTGTATTAGATACTTTAGAATCTGTAGTTCAAGCTGATGGCGGTGGAGGTATTCACGAATTTTTTATTTCATTATAATTATTTAAATATAACGAGGAGAAATAAATTACATGTTCGAAATTATATAGGTGCAGTTGTTGGTGCGGTATTGAAAGTGTTATTAAGAGCTCTGGCTAGAAACCAAAGTACATTGGTTCTTCAGCACATGTTCAATACACAACGAGCTCTAGTTTTTAAGTATCATAGTGCATTGTTCGATGAGGAAAGCGAGCGCTGTGGGGATTTGTGCTTAACACTACTCACTCGGTGTAGCTCGCCTTTAAGCGCTATTAGAAGTCATGCAGCTGCGAGTTTGTATTTACTGATGCGACAAAATTTCGAAATTGGGAATGTAAGCTGTCATGAGATATCATTGTATTGGTAGTCTATGATGAAGCATTATTTTAATCTTACATTGTTTACAGAATTTTGCGCGCGTCAAGATGCAAGTCACAACATCGTTATCCGCTCTTGTTGGGAGAGGAAGGGCTCCTAGTGAAGGAGCGTTACGTAGAGCCTTGAAAACGGTGCTGGTGTATGCCGAGAGAGATACAGAGCTTGCAGACACGAGTTTTCCCGAACAAGTGAAGGATCTACTATTCAATCTTCATATGATTCTCTCTGATACTGTTAAGATGAAGGAATTCCAAGAGGATCCTGAAATGCTCTTGGATCTAATGTATAGGTAAGATTTCTGAATCTTTACTAATGACAATAATTTAATTTGTGTTTTTAAAGTATAACGAGCTTTAAACTAAGGAATATGTCTAAATTTTGCTTAGAATCGCCAAGGGTTATCAAGGATCACCTGATCTTCGTCTGACTTGGCTCGCAAACATGGCACAGCAGCACATGGAAAGGAAAAATCACACAGAAGCAGCAATGTGTTTAGTGCATAGTGCCGCTCTAGTAGCAGAATATCTTCATTTGTTAGAACCTGGTGGCGGTGGTCGGCCTGTAGGAGCCGTCGCTTTGAATGCCGTGACACCGAATGCTTTAGAAGAAAGCGCTGTCGGCGATGACGTATTAGCTAGAAGGGAAGAAGGACTTTGTTTAGGCCCTGATTTTTCAGAAAGCGGATTGGCAGGTTTATTAGAGCACGCGGCTAGCTCTTTTCATGCAGCTGGAATGTACGAAGCTATTCCTGATGTCTATAGGGTGTTACTGCCTATAGCGGAAGCTGCACACGACTATAAGAAATTAGCTAATATTCACGGGTAAGAAAATTTAAATTATTTAATATGATAGGGAGAATATTTTTGTACTTCAAATTTACATACTTTTTTGGAATTTTTTTTTAGTAAACTTCACGAAGCATATACGCGTGTGGAACAATTGGCCGGCAAACGCGTCTTCGGAACATACTTTAGAGTTGGTTTCTACGGTGCCAGATTCGGTGATCTCGCTGGTGAAGAATTCGTTTACAAAGAGCCTACCTTGACGAAACTTCCGGAGATATTCTCGAGACTCGAGAACTTTTATGCCGAAAGATTCGGCGTGGATAATATAGTCATAATAAAGGATTCAAATCCTGTGGATCCTAGCAAGCTGGAACCAGATAAAGCTTATGTTCAGATCACTTATGTAGAACCGTATTTCGAAGCGCACGAGCTTAGACACAGACCAACAGTTTTCCATCGAAATTTCAATATAAGTGAGTATTGATTAAGATAAAATATTTTATTTTACTACAAATAATTTTGGATTTATTTTTATAACGGCTTTTTGTTTGTAGAGCGATTCGTTTATGCGACACCTTTTACTCCTGGTGGCAAAGCACATGGCGAGTTACGCGAACAATGCAAACGAAAGACTATATTAACGGTGGCGACGCATTTCCCGTATTTAAAAACCAGAATTCGAGTTGTAGCTCGAAAACAGATAGTCCTAAGTCCTATTGAAGTGGCAATTGAAGACATACAGAAGAAGACTGCTGAGGTATCGATTGCTCCTTCACGCTTTATTTTAATTTTATAATATACATGTAATTTTATAATATACATATAAATACATTTTTTGTATCTTAATTAGGTGGCCGCTGCGACCGTTCAAGAACCACCCGACGCAAAGATGCTGCAAATGGTTCTTCAAGGTTGCATTGGCACGACGGTCAATCAAGGACCTGCTGAAGTAGCGGTCGTATTTCTTTCCGGTTTGCGGGAACAAAATGCGCAACCGAGCAGACTACAACACAAGCTTCGTTTGTGTTTCAAAGATTTCCAAAAAAAATGTCTCGACGCTTTGCGGCGTAACAAGAATTTGATTGGTCCCGATCAGCGGGATTATCAGCGGGAACTGGAGAGAAATTATCAAAGATTAACTGAAAGATTGGCACCTCTTATTGCTTGGAGGTAAGAAATTTAATTAGAGACACGTATTTTTTTTTAAGTTTTCCATATTGAAGAAATGTGTACTGCCACATATAGCGGACCATTCTTAATTAATCAGCAAGTTGTACCATCGACTCCTCCACGCTGGTAAGGAAATGAAACACTGCCATAGAAGCTTACCAAAGACTACTGTATCCAATTATTAATTGCAATTGTCATTTAACATATAGCAAATTCTGCTTATAATCACTATTGTGAAAAATATTCGTATGTTGAATCCTTGCTTTATAATTGAAAAATGATTTGTAAAGTAAATATCTATTTAACTAGATTAATTATTATGAGTTATATTATTTATTTTAAGTTCGATAAAATTTCGGCACGCAGTTTAAAATGACTACAAATATAGTATATATGATGTACATATATACTGTATATTATATATAGTATATATAAATTCACATTGAATTATTCCAGAATCAAAGATCCAGCTTCAATCGTTATGAGTCTTTAATTCGTATGTCTTATTGGTTGTGTTCACATGTACTAATAAGATGATGTAATAAGATTCTTTATTGTTTATATTATTTATATTATGAGTTTTATATACATGTTATGAATTATTAAATAAATTGTTTTTTATAAATAAAAATAAGATAAGAATATTATCATAAGATTGTCAGATTTCCGAATTTATTAATACTAAAAACTTAATTCAAACGGGTTTATAAAACAAGGATTCAACGTAACTTTTTTATTACAGGGACTCGGATCAAAAAATTTCAGTCCGAGGCTAAATTCAACTTTTGTTTTCAATCCTTTTATCATAACGATTACTGGATGATTTCCCTGGATTTCGATCCTTTTCGATCTTTTTCGATTTCGGTTTTTGGTAATTATACACCTGTAACGGTTATCATTATCATTAAAAAGAACTGATACTGAAATCAAAAGTTGGGTAGCCTCGGGCCATAACCGTAACCGGTTTTTCATTTCGAAATGTAATTTCGGTCCGAATCTCTGCTTTTTTTATAATTGAAATTTTTATATTTATGAGTACTTAAGTATTCTAATACATTGTGTGTGACCATCACATAGATTTAAATATGGCCGGACAACTGTATTTAGAATTTATATTTTTTTATAATTGATAAACGTATTTGTATATATCAAGTAGTTCTGCCCTATTTAGTATTTTCGTAATTTCTCCGTTTGCGCGTTTATTTATTACATTCATTAAAATGCAATGTAGCATTAAGTATTAAGTGCTTACATGTATTATACATCTCTAAGCGCGAAAACTCTAATATATTTCCATATTAATTAATATATTAAGAGATTAATTTGTCACTATAACTTATATATTTTTTTCGTTGCTACCAATATTTATTCTGTTACATCTTACATCTCAGCAATATACTCATTCATAAGTATAAAATAATGATGTTATGGATGCGTTTTTTTAGTTCAAGCTTCATTCTGTCTTCCTTCTACATATAATGAGCTATAAAGATAGAATAAAGTTTACAGCGCATGAGCGCTTAAAGTGAACGTATCCTATGTGATTATCTTTATATTTTGTAATATACTGCGAAAAAAATTTACTAAATTTTAATTCATATTTTTTTTCAACAATACTAAGCAAACATTTACTTACAATAAATTAATATTTACTAATAAAAATTGTAATTAACTCTTCTCGTACTAAATAAATATGTCTATATTTACATCTAGTAAATATTTAGTTAGTATTATTTAAATCAATATTTATTAAAATTTAGTAAATTTTTTTCAATGTACGTATATTTTAGATTTTATGAATCGAGCGCTGAGTACTTTTATAAGAGTGAAAGTAATTTCTAAAGAATTAGACTAAATATCTTGATTAAAAATATTTCTTTACTCTACAATTCTTCGATTGTATCAAACACAATGTAGAATGATATATAATGCACTCGATTTATAAAACATAAATTTACAATAAGAGATTGTATTATGTGTAATATGCACATCAATATGATGACAGGATACACACACACATACACACACACACACACATATATATATATATATACATATATATATGATGACGATTTAAAATCATATGTAAAATAAAAAAGGCTTCAAAGAATTAAATGAGAAATTTCAAGAACAAACCGATGTAAGCAAACACAAGATAACAGTGTGTAAAAATCTTTTATTAATAAGACAAAAATAATATTTATATTAAAATAATATTTTCATCTTAATAATACAAAATTTTTAAGCACTACTATCTTGTGTTGGCTTATATCGGCTTACTCTTGAAATTTATGATTTAAATTCATAAGACAGAAACTGTCATGCGTTCATAGAGAACCTGCGATTTTAATCCTCCATTTGCATTCTGGGTCTTTTTTGGCACAAGCGAAATTTCACTCTCAAATTTCTCCGAAATAAATTCCGTCTCCTAAAATATCTTGTTAGTAGTGGGATCTAATGAGTAAGAGATGTTGAAAAGTATAATAATTTTGAATTTTTTTACATTTTCTTGACAGTCAAGAACAGTAAAAAAAAAACTTGAATTGGATAAAGAAGATTCAGATTACAGACGGAGGGAATAAAAATATGATTGCAAACAAAGGGTTAAGTCTCGAATAAAATGCACTTTTGTATTTCTTGAAAAATATTAGAAATATAGACGAATTTTGTATATAGTCAGTTTGTGTTTCGAAGGATGAGAGAGGAAGGAAGTAGGCGAATATCTGTCTTCATTCAACAATAGACCTGTCAAACAATCTGTTATGATCCTCTGGGCTGTCTTCCTCCACCTATTCATCATTCACTTCCTTCACTATCTATTTTTTCTCTCTTGTATCATGTTCGAATAACTACTTCGTTTTATTGCCATTTAAATGATTCGATTTCCGAATTATCGAGAATTGCTTTTTGCTTGTTTGACATCTTTGTTTTATTGAAAAGGAAAGATTTATATAAATTAAATATACATTTCTTAATTTTTTTTCAGGAATTTAGATCAGCTAGTCTAAGATTAACTCTATTATCGTGAATACGCATAGAAGTTGATTTTTCGTATATATCTGAAATCGGAATCAATTCCTAAAAAATCTATTTTCACATCATTATTTCTCATTTTCAAAATGATCGAGTGTAACGAGAATTGGTCTGGAAAAATGATGTCATTCGATCCGCTAAAATTCATGTGCGTGTAACGGAAGTAATAACGATACAGACATAAACGTGGATACATCGAATGTCTTGACTCAAGACATTCGATGTATCCAGAAGAAGAGAAAGAGAAAGAAAGGAGAGGACTAAAGCAGACCGAATAAAACGTCTTAAAATGTCGTAACGGAGGCGAGAAAGGTATCCATATTGGAGGTTTCAGATAAAAGGTTTACCTTTGAACTCAGGATGAGACTTCTCGAAGGATTTTCTCGAGGAAAACTTTGATCACGTTAAGAGATCTCCTTCGGGGTAGTACTGGCGAGATCGCGTCGCGGAAAATTCCTCTCGAAGTATTCTCTCGCGATGCGGAGTCGTGCGAAGAGGAGGAAAGAGAGATACAAGGAAAAACAGCGTTGGCGTTGCGAGGGTAACAACAGTGCAGGGTGCTTACAAAAAATTCGAAATTTTCCCCCATTTCGCGTTTCTCCGGTGGCAGCAGCGGTCCTGTTTATATTGTCCACAGTCCATTTAACTCTCGAATGCGCGGACGATTCTCCTCTATTTTCGGCCCATTTCGCGCTCGCACTCCTGTTGCGTGCGTTCTCGCTTCCTCGCTTATTTGGTAATCTACTATTTTTTTCTCCTCGCAGCCGCGACAAATTGCTGTGCTTTTTGTCACGGAAACTACTGTTAATCATTGTTATCCTTTCCCGTCGACCTTTTTCCTTCGTCATACACAATAGGACATTGATGCTCGTTCTTAAACCCACTTGGGCGTGTTCAAATTCCCATCCAGCTCGAATCCCCAAGTGTCATGTTATCCTTGTTTATTCGGTAAACAACAAGGATGGGAGTACTTGGGTGGTATTTGGGTGGGAATCTGAATATAGTCCTTTAGATGATTTATAATTCGCGACCAAATTCAAGATAAAAAAAATTTTTTCACATAATATTGTTCTAATTATTCTGCACGTAAAATTATTAAAATAGATATATCGAAAAGATCAATAGTTTACGAGACACTTTATATTTTATTTTGGCATATTTTAGGAGGATGCACGCGTGCGTGCGTGCGTATGCATATATAATATGCATTATTATATAAACTATATACATGTATATATATCTATTATGTAATTATTTATATAATTGTATTTATTATTATAAATTTCTCTCAATTTATTTCGAGTCTATCCTGAAAACGGAAGGCATTCGTAAAACATCATGAAAGATTAACGCTTGGCGTTTTATATCATATTCATGATAGTTGAAATCTTCTTTGTATTTGTAATCGCAAAGTTATGTTTCTCGGTCTCGTTAAGTTTCGCGAGGCGATTAAATTAGTTTGAAATATTAAAATCGGCCACAATAGCGAACGCGTCGTATTATTTCATGCATCGTGTGCAGTGAAAGTCGGTTGCATCGAGTAGAAATCGGAACGGGCTTTTCTGATTTTTTTATCCGGCTAAAGTATATTATTATGCGTGCAAAAAGTCACTGCGGAGACTGCCTGGGTGATTTCTGTCGAGGGGATAATCACTTAATGTAGGTAATCGTGGGACAGAGTCCTTGAAATCATAAAACTCATCTGAAATCTCTATGTATAATCCGATAATTACATATGCAATCACGAAATCATTGTTATATATAATATTAAATAAAATCGTATATTTTATCAAATGACTTCATATGTAGTGAAAAAAATGACTTCATATGTAGTGAAAAAATTATTTGTAATCAGATGAAATCATATGAAATCATGTAATCTGTGGGACAATATTTCAGCTAGTGGTTATCCCCTCAATCTCTGTCACGGATTAATCGTCACGCGCGATTTGAAACTCGTTTCTTTTGCGAACGCGTTTCTTTTTCGGCGTACAAATAGAAACCCTCGATTGAAGTTAATTGAAATAAACGGTACAATCTCGGTAAAAATTGTGGACGTCAGGGTGATCACACACGATCGAGACGATCCGGATTATCCGGATGATTCGCGGTACCGTTCGATAAGCAAATCCATTATGGTTGCATAATTAATTATTAATTGCGTATTTGTTCGCGATTATTAGCTGGTTATTAT